TATTTTTCACTTTTCACTTTGACTTTGATTTTCACACAATGTAAACAGACCTGCCTAGTGTAGAGAAAAAATGGCAGTACTCGTGCCGTAGACATGACAATCTTGGTACTTTGTGCTAAGTTAATCATAAACTATGGTAACTATTCAACCAAGCAACAAAGCAGCAGATGCTGTGTATATATTAGTGACCATGCACACGTGGCTTTGTGGGATGCAACACCTCTATTTAACTTGAACAGTTGTCAAATATTTGCAAATGTTACAAAGAGGTTAAATGTCATTTAGATGGTTAGTTGGCTATATGTGGACTGTCCAGTTAGGTTTTTTTGATGATGTGATATGTGTTGGCATACCTGAGCTGCGTGTGAGACTAGAGCAGAAAGGGAACGTCTCGGTTTTGGCCCTTGCCTTGTTTGCATCATTTCTTCGTTTTGCTTTTGACTGTATCGTCCCCATTTGCCTACTTCTTTCTCTGTCTTATGATTATTACCATCTACTTCTATTCTATATTTCCTTTCACCTTAAGTACCCCTTCCCATTGATCTCTTTTCAATTGCTTTATCAAATTCCTGGTTACATTAATTTGACTTTCCTGTCCTTGGTTTCATTGTCTCCTTTCTTCTACTGTTTGATTCTCATTCAGCTTTGCTTTTGCCCTGTTTTTTGTTTTTGTTTTTCTCTCTTTTTGTTTAGTTTCTTCCCTCTTTCTGTACTTTTCTACCATTTTTCTGCCCTTTTTTTGCTCACCCTCTTTTTCCTCTCTGTCTTGCCTTTTATTCCTCCTCCTCTCTCTCAGCCTCCCTTTCTCTAGTCGATCAGACAGTTGAAGCAGCCAAGCTGCCGGAGGCGAGAGCAGACAGAGGAGCCGCTCTGTCCGACCTCCCTCCCTCTCTGGAGAGACAAACTTGAGCAGACACGCCAATAAGCTGTAAGGAGACAATTATTCACCATTTATATCAGCTCTCTGAGTTCTGAGTTAGCGCAGCACACCTCTAGAACACAGCTTTGTTACACCACATGGTATTTTTAATACTTTTATCCTTTCATGGCCTTTCATCCTTTCGTTTTCATTGATTGATTGGTAAACATTTGCACTAGGGAAACCTAGAGGTTGCAGTTTGCTTGTTATTAGAAGAGCATTGGTCAAAGCTATGCTAAGTGAGAAGATCTGAGGGAAATGAACATAAATAAGACATTATCTCCCATCCCTTAGCAACCGCTATCATCTTGCCCTTCAGCAAGACACTTAACCCCCAACTGCTCCACTGGATCTGCTCAGTGTCCAGCAGATAAAGACTGTGATTTTACTGTGAATTTATTGTGTGAATATGTGTAGCTGCCTGAATCTGAAGCTTTTTGAGTTTCTGAAAAGGAAGAAAAATGCCCATACAACCAGTTTGGTGAAATAATGGTTAAATTTGATTTATTTTGTTAAATTTCTTAACTAAATCAGTTCAAATCTCCCATCTTCTATATCTGGAGAGCTGCATTTAAAATCGAACTCATATTTACAACTTTTCAATGTGTTTTGGGGTTTTGTGCACCTTAAATTTTGTTTTTTCGTCTGCTTTAAGTCAGACACCATGTTCTGCAAAGACAAAGAGAGACACTTTGGTTAAGACGATGAGAAAAGCATATTTTGCGATACAGATTTTGGTGTTTGCATGCGTACCTAGATGTTGCTCTGTTGGAGAAGACATGGCTGTGGTAAAGAGGCCTATGGAAGAACAATTAGTAGACTGAAGGAGTCAATGTTGATGAGCTCCTCAAACACAACAGTGCAGAGCATCAAGTCTAATATTCAAACAGGCATTCACACAAACACACACACACACACACACACAGTATCCACGCCGAAGCTAACACACACTCACTCAAATACACAGAGGAAGGCATATATACGGTAGGCATTGTGGGTATCATACCACAAAACGCTCTTGTTTATCTTTTCTTCTCCAAAACATCCACTTTCAGAAAATGAGAACAACAACAAAAAAAACTATTGTTGAGGAGAACTATTGAGCAGACTGTTTTCAGTTGTCGGTTATGGTAAGGTGCACCTTTGCAGTTAAGATCTTCAAAATATCCTCTTTAATACCAGGAGGCTTATTTTTGATTTTATACTCGGGCAGCCTAACAATGTAAGAGTCCAGTTGTTTGTGAATTTACCTGCTTGGCTTAGGAGCAAAAGACAACGGCGCAAGTTTTTAATAGCCACATGTTTGCATTCAACTGAATCTGTTTTATGAGAGCGAAAGATCCTTACACAGGAATGTGGAAAATGTAAATGTAAGTGGACAGACACACTCACTGTGCCCCAGTACCTGCAGCTATTAACAGCTCCATCTTGTTCTGCATAGTAGAACATGCAACAGATTCAGAGCCTTCTTTCATTTTGAACTTGGTTTCCAGATAAGATGGCGCTCTGTGTTGTTATGTCCAACCGATTTGAAGTTTAAGGTGAACAGGCTGCCCACTTCCTTTCTGTCTGTTCAATGATAACAGTTGTAGAGCCCAGTGAAAATGTGTTCCCCCCTGTGAATCGATGCTAATCACATCATTGTGCCGCCCCGTCCCCCATGCCTCTCTCTGGGGGTTTCACACTCCTCTCTGGTCTTTTCCTCCTCACCCGCTCTTTTTCTCTTGCTCTGTCTGTGTCTCTCCCCTCCTCTCTCCTGTCTCCCCTTATCATAGGGGAGGTGAAGTCATCTGAGGCTACTTGCACGCAAGCCAGCCCTACGCATGGGTCAGTGCTGTGCTGTGCAGACATTGTAGTTGTGACACTGCAGAGATCTCCCATCATGCATCTATCATCCATTATTTCTGCAGTTTCTGCCATCACAGCTTATTTTTTCTTCAGTGTTGTAAAACAGATCTGAGTATGGACCTATAGGCAGTATGTTGATATAGTATATTTTATGTGTAATATAATATGATGGTTAACAAAATGTCACCTGGGATTTTGGTTATGACAAAATTTTAATTAATATATGTTGTACCTAAACCAAAAGAAATACTATATTTTACTATCCAATGATGCAGGTGTTTTCTTTGTGTAAATCATTTGAAGTCGCTGACAAGCATCCTTAAAATACTGCCCTAGGCAGACAGACTGTCGATTTTGTCGACTGTCGAAGAAATGCGTCAAAAGTCCCGCAATGTGACTGTTGCTACCACCCAAGTTTTCTAAGCATAAGACTGCTGCTAAAAGACATATTTACCTCAAACTCACTTTACAAAATTGACCATTCATGTTGCCCTTTCTTCCCTGGCTGGCTTTTCGATGTACTTTAGAGGCGATTGCCACTGCCGAAACATGAGAAAGTTGGAGATAGATGATGCCAGCTGGTAATGACATGTCTTTTCTTGCACCTGATTTTTCTTTCCACCTTAGTGATATGATACACCAGGGATACATGGCACCATCTGACATGCCTCATAACTGATATGGTGCAGTCTGACACTGCAGCCAAGACTTCGTTAAACGCATCTTTTACTGTGTAACGTGCACTTAACTTGTAAGATGGTTGTTATTGCACATTCTATACGGTATAAGTATGGCTGGGCACGTTAACGTGTTATTATCACATTAACGCATTAATTAATTAATGCCGACAATTATTTTATCTCACCTTAACGCAGTTTTAAAATTATTATTATTATTTTGAAAGTCCGTTGCTCACTGACTCTGAATACACATACACTCAAACCATGGGCCACAGGAGGTGTGGGATGTTGATCAGCCTGCAAATCACCCATCCAAACAAGCAGCGGAGGGAGGCTTCGGCAGACTACGCTGGATGCAGCGTATGGGAGACGTAAGACAGCGCTCTGTGAGGAAACTGCAGCCGCTCTATGCACTACACAGCTGTAGCCTCTTTAACTTAATGAATTTAAAATTATAGACTACATAACTTTACCTGATAGGCTTTATCTAGTTTTGCCGGGATGCTCTGCCATGCGAATTCCCTCCTGTTGGTGTCCTGATAACTATTTAGTAAACAGTAATAGATTCTGGAAACTAACAAACAGCAAGAATCAGTCTCTCTTCCAATGATTTGTGCTGCACATTGCGTGCAAACAGTTCAAGACAATTCAACTTCGGCAGCATGTGCATGAGGCGACCACTTCACCTCACTCTAACAGGGACACTTGCTACTGAACATAGACTGTTTATGCTGCTCCCTGATAAAAGAAAAATGTTTCTGATACCTGTTCAGAAAAAAACAAGAAAACAGATTGAAATATGTTAACCTGTTGCTCAGAAGGTGCCTGTTACGATGTTATGATCCTGGCTCTGGACTCTGATGGTAAATTGTTTTAACAAGCTAGATAAAAGGTAATGCCCTGGCAGTAGCTTTGGTTTTATATATGATTTGATTACATAAATGATTAAGTTGAGATTTACAAGAAATATTTTATTGCTACTGTTTAAAGGGAATACTGTAAAAAGCACCTTATTTGTTTAAAGTGTTTACAAACCACATGTTGTTGCACTTTTGTGATTATAGCAGTACATTTAAATTAAAAGTGGGCAATACACTACTTTAGAATACATTATTAAATTTTGCGCACAGCAATAGGATTAAACTCAGAAAATCATGCGATTAATTGCAATTAAAATTTTGAATCATTGCCCAGCACTAGGTATAAGACAAAAGCACTGAGTGAAGATTCAGCCTTTTGACCTTCAAATGGATTCAGTATTGCCATAAATGTCTGCATCTCTCAACAACATCAAACACTACAGCATTTTCCTAAAAGGCTTTGTTCATGCAGATGCAGGAGTAATGTGATATATTTCTTAGTCTGAGTCATCAATACTGGCACTAGTATTACACATGCACCCACAAGAGAATGACCTTTTTTCTGCTGCAGAGACGTTACTAAATATGTAATGTGGTTTCTCTCCCTCTTTGTGTGTGTGTGTGTGTGTGTGTCTATGTGTATGGCTACATGCCTGTTTGTGCATGCGTGTGTGTCCATGCGTTCACTCATAGCTCCAGCCAATGCCCAGATCGTGCACTCAGGCGCAGCGTGTAACGTCAAGGATGATAACATCAGTGAGAGAATCTACACCATCAAAGAAGGAGACACACTAGTGCTTCAGTGTATTGTTAAAGGACACCCACGACCACAGGTAAGCTCCCAAACCACCTGCTGATATAGTGTTTTACATATATGTTAAAGCTGATCCTGTTAGACTGACTTTCACGGAGTGAGCAGGTAGGTGTTCAGACTCTTGCTCAAGGAAACTTTTACAATAGTATTTCTTGGCTCTGAACACAACCTGTCAACATCCAACATGCTACACTCTCTGTAATCACTATACACACTAGATGAACATGGAAACTGATGTTTTAATAGTTGAATGAAGCTTTTCCAGTGTTTGGTCAAATTGCACAAATATGAATATAATTAAAAATTATTTTAATTAAATGGTTTATTCGGTATCAGTAGAATATATAAATGAAATTTAGTGTCGTTTCACAACTAAATGAAATGCTATATTGCATAGAATAATCAATATCAGGATGGCTGGTTAATTTTTTCTATATGGATATTAATCAGTGTTCAATCCACTACATCAGAGCCATGCCTTTTTCTTAAAAATAACATCCTCCAGCGAATCACAGCTGAGAACTATCTGTGGAAATGGTGTAATCAGTGAGCCATGATTACTACTCATGCCTGCTTCCATCCATAAGAAATTCCAAATTTGTAGACCTCTCGTACTTAAACTTTCTGGATTATAAATGCACATCTCAGATTCAAGCTGTCTTTACAACAGTTCCATTTTCCTGACACAAATATAGCAAAGCCCAAGGTCTTATCAAGCTGTTGATGTTGTTATAATGCATGAACACCTCCCTTAATCTGGCGAAATGTCTCTTTGCTTACACGGTGTGCCTGTTTTCAAGCCAGCATGTTGGGGTAAAACATACTAGTGACTGAAAAGGCTACAAGCGACATGGACATATCCTATGATTAGCATCAGTTACAAAACACGCCCTGCTCTGGCTAACATAAATCATATGATATATCCATGGGCCATTAGTCATGTTTATGGTGTCGCTGTGCTTCTGTTTGTGCTGAGTCACACAATCCCCTCCTTCATTCGCCTAACAGTGGCACTAACTAAACGATGCCCTGCTATCAGTTGGTTCTTCCCTGAGTACCCCGTGTTGTCAGTGACACATTCAGTATATTTGGTTAAACATTATTCAAATCGTTCTGATGAACAAGAGCAGCAGTAGCTCAGGATTTAGAGAATATGCTTGTAAGTTAAAGGTCATGGGTTTAATTCTCCAGAACAGCTGGTAAGTTAAATGTGCTCTGCCTGCTGTAAACAGCTACAATGTATTTACAATTTGCCTTTTAGCAATGCTAACTGTGCAGCTGCATCACTGGATTTTCAACACATGGCTTCTAAAAATATAGCAAGACACAAAAAGGATCATAAGTTTACAATACAATGTATGATAAATCACAGTATAAAATGATTTGCTGTCCGCTTCTGAATGTCCTTCTGTTTTTTTTAGACACATTGGAAATAAGTGAAGAAGAACAAATGCTATTATGCAACAGCTTGTGTTGCACATGCTGCGCTTGGACTGTAGCCAGTTAGTTGGTTAAACAACAGCATGAACTTTATTCTTTCAAAAAGACATGTTCATTGTATGAGAGCATTTAAACACACACACGCCTGAATATATGTACATACTGTATGTTCATGTGCTCACAAACACTTACACATAGATGCACAGGCAGCCAGACAAATGTTCAAAGAAGCACACACACTCAGAGAGACTTAGCCAACACTGGACACATCTGGTTTCCTGGGTTGAACTCCAGCGAAGCATTTTCAACCAGGGTGTGTTTGTCTGTGTGTGTGTGTGTGTGTGAGCTTACAGAGCTAGATGTAAAATGAACTGAGGTGACTGCAGAGGGACTGTGTGTTTTGTGTGTATTTGTGTGGGAGTGTTTGAGGTGAGAAAAGCAGTGTTCCTCACGGGTGCATGTCCACTGGCATCACATCAACATAAATAAAACAGTGCCTGTGTCTAGGCCTTGTTTTCTTCTGTTTGCGTGTGTATGGACTGTCTGTGTGTTTGTGTGTGTGTGTAGTTGTGTGTCTGTGCATATGAATTAATGCTAACTAATCATTTGTGTGTAGCTGCAATATCTAATTACACACCGAACACTTGACCTAACCTGTCGACATTGTAATTTCGCTCTCATTTGATCTATCCATCTTTCTGTCAGTCTTTCTCGCTCTCTCTCTCTCACACACACACACACACACACACACACACACACACACACACACACAAACACCACATTTACCATGTGCCCTGAAACAAATACAGACCGACTTCTAATAAAACTTATTTTCAACTGGGAGCTGGAATAATAATCATTATAAAAAACGTAGTCTGAAAAACACATACTACACAACCACACAATATTCCCCTGGAGCCGTTCAAAGATGTAGGAAATTGCGTCAATGATTGCTTGTACTCTGGGTCGGAGGTGGGAGTGTATTTTGAATAATGATCACATTGGTCACATTGTCAGAATAAAAAATGTACATAGTGTGTGCACAAGCAAGACTTACAATGCCTCTAGCAAAGAGGCATTGGTTGAGTGAGTGTGTGCATGCCTGGGTTTGCAGGCGTGTGTGCATATATTTGTGTGTGTCTGTCTGTGACGAAATGTTTATGTAGACACACTAACAAACAAAGGCAGACAGAGACATAGAAACAGATAACAGACTAAGAGAAAGAGTTGCAGCAGTGAAAACATTTTAGTAGTGTAATGCCCTCGAACAGAAGAACTGTGGTTGAAACAACAACCTTCAAGTCTTCAAATCATCAAGATACTGTATCATCTTGAACAGCAAAATATGTATGTAAGGGTCAGCTCCAAATTGTTTCACAATTTCCGAAAGATTTCCCATACAAGTGATGGGTGATAGAAAATATTAATTTCTGATAATTCCCATTTCACTTCTTTATTTTACACTTTATGAATTCACAACTATTAAATAGCCCACAGTTTAGTTTCTTACATCCACAATACTGTTATGGGCTGAAAGAACTAAGGATTCAGTTGCGGACACTGAGACTGGAGTAGAAGCAAAAAACAGCAGTTTATTGACAGACTCAAAAAATGTGCAAAAATGTAATCCAGGCTCAAAGTTTTTTAGAGTGGGTAGACGGTGCTGTGAGCTGTGCAGGTGGCAGAAAACAGAGTGCTTGTTGAAAAATGCAGGCAAACTGAATTCTTCTCACTTTGGACCAAGACATGAGGCACAGACGGGAAAAACACAGGAGTCAGAAACAGAGTAGACTAGCAAGGCAAAAAAGTACTTTGTCAAGTTAAGGCTGTGACATGTGTTACACTAGTGTGAACGGACAATCTGGCAAGGAATGGAGCGTTGGTATGGTGTTAATATTATAATAGGTGATTTGGTGATTGGAGCCTATGGAGGACAGGAAGGAGTGCCATGCCCTGACACACACACACACACACACACACACACACACACACACACACACACACACACACACACAGGGAGAACAAACAGGTGATAGACAAAAACACTAGGAAGGGGAAACAGAGGAAACACTAGAGGCCTGCACTATGAAGCGAGGTTACTGGCTTATCCAGGTAACTTCATGAGTAACTTTCCTATTAACCTGTACTAAGAAAAGTGTATACTGTAGGTTTTACCTGAGGTATGCTGTTATGGCAATTTACACTGCATCTCTAAACTGCTCCGAGCAGGTTATCTTCATGGTTAACTTGATGTTACCCTATACTGTACATGAATAGGCAATTATAAGTGTGGGCTTCACATCAGATGTGTACACAGTGATAATGATGAGAACTATTAATACATACCACTTGATCATACACACACACCACATCCTGACTTGTTGCCCTGTGTGTTTTTCCATTGGGGTTGCAGCTGAAATGAAGTTATTCTTAACACAATAGCATTACATTCATACAGGTAGCCCTGCAGCCTCTGTGATTTAGGGAGCAGACATTGATTCATTTCTTATTCATTCATCATTCAATCAGCGTCAATCATTCATCAATTTCTGAGATGTAGCCCAAGTGTATAATTGAATTAGACTATTTTATGTGTCCAAAAAACGCAGAGCCAGAAGAGGGGGGTAATGATCTGAGATGAAAATGGCAAATTTAAAAGAACGAAACTCAAGCCTTGCAAAATGAAACAATGTAGTTCTTTGACAAAAAAAAACAACACTATTCTTCAGAGAGTTTCTCTCATATTCAAGTCCTTTTCTTGTAGATTTGTGATTTTCTTCCCATAAATGTACCACTCTTTTTTTCTTAGATTGTTACCCTTCTTCCTATTTGTTTTTTTAAACCTACAATGGCCCTAATACACAGGTGTACCTTTACATATCAGTCATATTACAAATTAAAGAGAATTACAACAGGAACAACTTAATGCACTGCCAACAAGCCTCCATGGCTTTGTTGTCCCCCACATTGTTAGATTTGTCCGTTAATGCCTCCTTATACTCTGACATTATCATTGTGCATTCTTCTGGGGAAACTACGCAGCATTCAGTATTATGAAAAAACTCTACCTGCGTTGCCTAACATGTCCTTTTCATGCAAATGCGAACCAACTCCAATTGACACCAAATCAACTTACCAACATCTTATCATTGTCGTAGTGTTGTTTAACACCAATGTAGGCAGTCAGAGTTTGTCAACCCTGGCTTTCCTTGTAACTGCAGGTTAAACCTCTACCTGCCTAAAATTATACCTGCCTATGATGATGATGATGATGATGTCAAACTAACAATTGAACAGTGTCAGCACATATGTAAATATAGATTGAAATAAACAACATGATGTTATACTTAATGTTTAATGCAGCACATATTGACAACAACACACGTCAGTGTTGTCAGTTAGAAACAGTCATGTATTAGAGTGCTGTCAAGTACAAGGTGGCATATATGTATATACACATACACATGCCAGGAGAGGGAGGGAGAGACAGAGATTAGATAGTAACAACAGGATGAAACAGTGTGAGGACAATGCAAGAGAAAACGAGCGATGAAAGATTAGGCACCAGAGGAATGAAGA